CTGTAAATGACTCGTCCCTGGCTATCGGGACAGTCTGTATAGCACTCTTCACCGGCTCTTCCTGAAATCAGAAACTGGCCCCTTATATTAGATGCTTAATTTTCTTGGTTGCCTGCAAATTTTCTGGCGTGGTCTCCGATACAGGGCATCAATATTCTATAGCGACATGTGAGAACCCTTATCTTGAGACTGCTCTGGCCTCTCCTGAATTGAGTCTAGTTTCCTTGATCCCATGTGTTTCCTGGTGGATGCTCTTATTTAACTAAAGCACATCCTCCAGTATATTTCTCAGAAAGGAGGAAACTATGAAACTTCTGAAGACTAAAAAAAGGTTAATTCTCCTAGCACATTTAACTCTAATTTGGCCAAGCACATACTTCTGGGCTGAAAATTATATCTGTCTCTTGACTTTTGAGGTCTGTCCCTTAGCCTGTTTCTAGCATATCATCTATAAATCCAAAGGTCCAATGCCATTTGGTCTTTTCTGCTTTGTTTTTTTCCAGAAGCTTTGGGGATTCTGTTTAAAAGCTGTGAAATTTCTATACTCTAGGAGATTTCCTCAAGCTGTCTCCCAACCCACTTACTCATTTTATCATATATTTTCTATACTTGCTATTTAAATATCAGTATACGAGGGCTATTTCCTCTTTAAACTGTTTTTGTTTTTTGATTAACAACAGGTCCTTTGATGAATGCAAAATCATCTCCCTCTCTAAGAAGCTTTATTTCTTCTGCTCACTGCATTATCTCTTTATTTGGATTCTGCTTTTCTCTGAGATGATCTTTCACCTTGAAAGTTTCCTCAGAGGTTAGGGACCCTCTAGGCTGTTCATTCTTTCGTGTGAGGTACCAAGGTGCTCCCTGATGGCACTGGGAGGGTGTGTGTGTGCGCGCGCACACTCCTTGAGGGGGCGAGTCCTGTCATTTCACAGTACCCTTGATACCAGATTCTCTAGCTTTGTTACCCAGGAGAGGGCCCTTAACGTTCTCTAGGCTCGGATGTATGTGGGGCCAGAATTCGGGTGTCCACCCTAAAATATCACTCAGAACTGCCAGCTTGACCTAGCCTGGTCCTCTCCTCCTGGGTGCGGCCCACCTATTCAAGTGCTACAGAATCAGGGATCACTGACTCTCGCGTCCTTTTCACCACCGCCTGCTGGTGATGCTCAGAAGCCTTCATCCCTCTCTCGTTTCCACTGGTCCATGGTCATTTTGGTGGTGATTCAGGAGATGGTGGCCATAAACATGCACTTTGCCAGGTTTAACTGGATGTCACTTGGTTAAATATATTCAGACCAAATATTGGGAGCGGGTCCAAATAACAACACTAATATTCTTAAGACAGACGCAGGCTCTTGGGCCGCAGACGGCAGGAGCAAGAGCGAAGGGTCCCCTCAGAGCGGCTCCGGCTGTCCTCACAGGCCCAGGACCATGTGCCCAGGCTTTTCTCCCTGCCCAGCAGATACCCCCTCCCTCCTGGCATCCCCATGCCAGAGATGCCGGGGGGGGGGGGAGGGGATATGGCATTTAAAGGTCTTCCCCTTTGAGAAAGTGCAGAATATGTTCTCAGGGGGACAATTAGGGAAACATTCAGTAAGTCACAAGGGTGAGCAGCTCTTCAGGATCGCAGTGCTCCCCAGTGCCCAGAGCCTGTGCCTGTGGATGGGGCTTGGGACCAGGAGAGACGGCCCTTTGGGAGAAGGATTGGCGAGGCAGTAGTTTGGGCATCAGACACAGGGAAGAGGGGGAGACAGGAGGGCCCTAGGTGGGCTGCTCATCTCCCCGTTCCACAGAGATCAAAGGACGGTGGCTGGGAGGTGGTGTGGGTGGAAACTGCAGGGCCCGTGGGCTCAGCTGATGGCCTCAGTGTAGGTCTTAGGGTGGCTGAGGTCACAGCCAGGGGAACAGACTCTGGGTTCTTGAGCAGACCAGCAGGGTGGCACCGGGGCGCTCAGATATACTGCAGTTTGGCCCCAGGCTCAGGTGTGCCTGCTGCAACATGGGGTCTTGAGCAGTTTCTAGAAGCTCTCACTGGACATAGCAAGCAGCCAAGGTGAAAGATAGTCTAAACAGGGAGCAGCAGGGCCATTTGGACGGAGCGGGTGTGACAAAGACGCGGGCCCAGGCTGAGTGCCAGGCTCATGGGCTCCCCTGGCTTGGGCAGGGGTCCCGCCTGGCAGTGGGACCTGAGGTGGCCTTGCAGCAGAGAGCTGAAAGGTGTCGGCTTTGTGTCCTGTGAGTCACGGGGCATGGTGGGGTGCCAAGATTTAACTATGGAGAATAAATCCATGGACGGAATGGAGGGGGGCTAAAAAGCCCAGAACCTCAGCTCTGTTCCAACCTCAGCTCTGTTCCGACCTCATGTCTGGAGGGTGAGGCAGAGGCTGGACCCTCCACAGGCCACGCCAGTCTGTGCAAGACCCGGGAGCTGCTGCACGTCCCAGTAGAGGGGACCAGGTGCAGTGGGGACATAAGCGTAGGGACCCTGGGTCACCTCTGGGGACACCTGTTGTCATCACTGGGGGTGATGCTGGCATGCGGGGGCCCAAGGATGCTGCTAACATCCTAGGGTCCCCAGAGATGACCAGCTCTAAGTGTCCACAGTGCCGAGGGAAGCCCTGCCCCGGGGACAGAGCCAGATCTCTGCCTGAGCCTTTGATAAGGGTGCTCAGACAGTGCCAGCGCCACCCCTCCCAGGGACAAGACCCTGGTGCTTAGGGGAGCTGAAGGAGTCTGAGGACAGCTGGGCCAATTAGGGCACCAGGGCCAGGGGAGAGAGGCACCGCGCTTCAGGTGAAGAGCAGGGGCTTTATTTGAGGTTTCAAATGTGGCGAGTCTCGGATCAGCCTTTCAGAGAGAGGGTCCCCACCCTGTGACTAAAAAAAGGGGGGGGGGGAATCAGCCTTATTTTACATACTAATGGCTTTAAAGAAAATTATATCCTTGGGAACACGACTTAATTTGTTATTCAGTCCCACTGTCTGAATGTTACAGCTCCCCAGGTTGGCTGCGAGGGAGGGAGAGACAGGAGAGAGAAGAGTGCTCCAGAAAGGAACAGTGCGTGACAAAGGGGCTCATGTGGCAAGAGGGGGCTGTAGGACAAGGAGGGGGGGCCCGGGGATCGGCTTCCTCGGTGCCTTCGGCAGAGGCAAGCACTGGCCAGCTGGGCCCTTGACCTCAGGCAGCTCTGTGAAGGCCTCCAACCCCACCCACTCTGGCAGGCGACCTGTTTATTGGAAATCCACTCTGTTGACCAATTAGCCTGAGCCACAATCAATTAACCATTATGTAGATGCCAACGCGGCCTAGCTCAGCGAGCTCGCTCTGCTCTGGAAGACAGGAGCTGCCAGACCAGCCTCACCGAGAAGCTGCTTCTCATGAGGCATACAGGTGAGTCAGAAATGAAAAGGACAGACAACAAAGAGATCAAATGTGAGACTCACCTTCACGGCGTTGTCAGGAACAGAAGGGAACGCGTTTAGGAACATTCCCAAAGAGAAGGGCCACAGGGCAGGAGATAGCCCGGGATTTGGGGACTCAAAGACGATACATTCAAGGTGAGAACAGCCCAGCCGGGGGGCTCTGAGCTGGGCTGAGGGCTCAGGTGGGTGATTTCCAAGCACTCCGAGGGTGCGCCCACGGAGGGGGCGGTGCCACCAAGTGGGCACTGCCAAGCCAGGAAGTGGCCGAGCCATCCCGCCCCTCACTGGCCAGGCCCTGGACCTGCGGGCCATGGTCAGAAAAGCTGCTGACATAAAGGGCAAGTGGCCCTCGGCCAAGGCCGACCCACACGCCCGGGGCCAGGGGGCCGCCGCCGGCTTAGGGTTGGCCGCGAAGCTGAGGATGGCAGTTACGCTTTCAAACGGTTCAAAAGTCAAAAAAACACAGCCATGAGTCACTAACCACAGGGGCCTCCTGAGGCACGTGCTGTCAGGCATCTCTGTCATGTGTCAGAGGCCCAGATGGCCGCGCCGCACCTCGGCTTGGCGCACAGCTGCTGTAGCCACCTGGAAGGCCTCTGACTGGACATCACTCAAGACCTGACTGGGGTCTCTGTGGCACGTGAAAATGACATGCCATTCTGGTGTCAGCGCCCGTGACCAGCCTGCGGCACCATGTGCCCTGGGGTCGCCGCCTGTGGCAGCCTTCTAGAGGCGAGTCTGTGGGTGAGGCCCTCCAGCCGGGTGGCTGCGCCTGCTGGGTGCCATCCTCTGCACTGCACCCAAGGGCCTAGGGAGGGTGTGCTGAATGTTCTGGAGGCACCAAAAAGGACTCCCTTTGATCTCAGTCTGTGAACACTAAGATTCCAGAAAGCCTGGATTGTTTTCCAGAAAAGAGCAAACGAGAGTCACCCCTCCAAGGCATGGAGTCATTTTCTCCTCTGCCACCCGCATCCCACCCGCAGAGGGCACTCTGCCCTCTCCTGCCCTGATGGATACAGGGCAGTGCCCATGCCGTGGCAGACGGTCAGGGCAGGGCGGGAGCCAGACCTGCAGTGTGGGACACCCACCCTGGACGGGATCACCTCTGTGATGAGTCCAAGCGGCACCAAGCACTCAGAGGCAGGTACGAAGCAAACATGGGCGCACAGGTTGGGCACTTGGGCCACAAAGAATGAGCCCTGGGCTGGCCGGTGTCTCTGGCTCCCGGCATGGGACACACCACTGCTCAGAGCCAAGGAGGGGCCCAAGCGGCCTTGAAACAAGGTCCTCTAAAACTGGAAAGGGACAGCATGAGTCACCAAGGAGGCAAAGTGCGGCCCAAGCACCAATATCCAGGAACGGGTGGAGGAAGACCTAGAGGGAAACTCAGGTGCCAACAGACATTGGCTGCTGCCAGGCCCGCCGAATGCTGCCTCAGAAGAGGGAGAAATGGAGGAGGAAGAAGGAAAGAGGAGGCGGGCAGAGGACGGATGATGAGGGAGGAGAGAGCAGGTGGAGGCCGGTGGTCACTGCTGAGCCCGCCAGTCATGGCCAGCCATGGTGTGGCGGCTCTCCCACTCACCTCCGGAGGAGTTTGGCCTTGAGGGAGGCGCGGGAGGCACTCCAAGTGCTCAGCTCCGGGCTGCTCAGGGCTGTGGGCCGGGTGTGGTCAAGCACGGTGAGGTCCTTGCCTTGCTTCCATTGCTCGTATCGCTCTGGCTGTAGGATGCGCACGAAGACGTCCATGGAGATCTTGACCATGTCCTTCCGGCAGGTGCACTGTGGGGAGGCAGGCTTTGAAAGACCCACTGAGCCACAGGAAGCGGCCCCACACAAAGGGAGGCGAGTCCTTTTTATCCCATCCTAACACTGGGCTCTCCCTTTCTAGAACATCTCTCCTACAACAGGAAATGGCATCTTCCAGGAGATCGGCGAGAGGCAAGGCTGCTGAATGTCCTTTCCCAAGGGAGGCTCCCCGCAAATCAGAGCCGCCGGTCCACCCCAGAGGCGTTACAGTCACTATCAAGTGAGACACTGCCCGAGACAGTTATACCTGGTGTACAGAAGCTTCAAAAGGGGGGCAGACATGTAAGGCCAGGTTGAGACAGGGCCCTCCTGTGTCCTGACCCCGCCTCCCAGGACCTCTCCTCTTCATCACAGTATTGTGGCCCCCAAGGCTGAGCATCACTAAGGAAGCACCATAAGTATTCTGGGGAACCTCAACATTTGAAGCAGTGGGGGCCTGAGAAACCAGCCAAAGATCTGGAAGCCAGGTCCTGAGAATGCAGCTCCAGATGCCCAGAGCAGCTGTTTTCTACATCTTTCTTCTGGGCCCTGTCCCAACAGTGTGCGCATGTAGGATGTATGTCGGCACGCGTGCAGGGGAAGGGCGTGGCTTTGTGCAATAAAGCCTCAGGGGCATCAACAGGCGGAAGGCAGGATTCGGCACAGGCCAGTGTTTGCTGGTCCCTGGTCTGGACTCCAGAGCATAAGCAGTCTCTGGAAGCAGGCGACCGAGCGTCTCCCAGGGGATTTCTGCAGGGACGGCTGAAGCAGCAGGGAAGCTGAGGGGGTCAGAGGATAAAGGGGACCTTGGGGGCTGTCAGGAATGACACACTTGTCTCCCTGTCCATGGGGTACAGTCCTCGCCTCCTTCTGGAAGACACACACGTGTGTTGGCAGCCCTGCAGTTCGTACTGCGAACCCCACTCAACGTTCCTGGCTCCTCTCTGCCTCCCAATCAATACAGGGTTTAGGAGCGCGCCCTTCTAAAGCTATACTTAACATGAGTTTCCGTTGAAATGCAGTTTGCACTCCTACAACCATCTTGCTGTCACTGCCACCTTCTCAGTGGAGATGAAGGTGAAAGGAAAACGTTTAGTGGATGTAACATTTATGGTACTTTGCCCGGGTAAGCCCTTCCGAACTTCCCTCAACGTGTTCTGAAAACACGGAAACATTTCTAACCCCGAATGTGGGGCTGTGGAAAATCCAGAAACTTCCCATTGCCCCAGCAGCCCCATCCTCCCCTTCCAAGCTGGATCTAGGAGCCAAACTTGGGGACAGGAAGAAACCGACTTCAACAAGCAGGAGGGAGTATTTATGGCCAAGCGATTCCCAGTAAACTCAACTCATTTAATGAAAAATTGCACAGGAGAGAAAGGCTGGCAGTGTAATTTGGCTGCAGTGTTGGAGCACAGATGGTGCCCGTGTTTCAGATTCCTGGCTGGGCTGAGGCCGCCCCAGCATCACCATCGACAGCGGCTTAAGGGATTTGTATCGAGCACTTTGCAATTGCTTTTCCTTAAGTAATTAAAAAAAGCACCTGTGTGTGCTGGCGAAGGGACACGCAGATGCACCCGCTGGCTGGGGCCTGGCCCGTGGGGTGGACACCACTGGCCAAGACAAAGCGGCCACGAACCACAGCACGCACCTCTCTACCGAGTGCTGGCTGGTGGAGTCCATCATCGGTGACAGGTAGAGATTTGGGGAGCTTGGGTACAGAGAGAAGAGTGGGAAGGAAGGTGGTGGAGAGGTGCGCCGGCCTCTCGGGCCTAGGACATGCTAACTCCCAGGACTGAATGCGCCAGGGCCCAGCTGCTCCCCCTGCTGCCGAGACACCCAGCCACTTTCCGATTCAGGCCCAGAGATGTCACATGGGGGGCCAAAGGCAAGCAGTGAGCACCTCCCCCTGCTGTGGCTGTTCTGCAAAGGGGGCTGGATGGGGCGGGAGGCCCAAGGCCATGACAGAATCCTCAGTGTGGGAAACTGTTGGGGACCGAGGCCGGCATCTGGAGTCCGTCAGCAGCCATACAAAGGTGAAATGGAGTCGGATAGAGAAAAACATCCGGGTTGTAAAAGGCATGCGGGAAGAACTCCTTGCCCCCACCTTTTCTTTCTCCTCTTTCTTCTCTCACCCACCTATTACCAAAACACTGCTCCATTCTCGCCCATTTTTGTCCCTCGCGAGAACCATGTTATCAAACACTGCTACATGTCTAGTATCCATTGGCTTTCTCCCTTCCTGACTTCTGCATCCCCCACCTCTTGTATTTTATATAAACCAGATAAAGACAAAATAAACTCTCTCTCTGTTCTGATACACATGTGTGACTGTTTTCTTTGTTCGCCGGCCCTGGGGCTCCGACTCTCCGGCCTTGCTGGTCAAGGTCCTCCACAGGAAACGAGGCGCAGAGCAAACCGTGCTATTTGTTTTCATTAAGGAGGCCCCAGAAAGTGTCCTTACCCTCCCTCCACAGCCCGTCAGGCCCCCAAACCTTCTGGGACCGGCGTCTAAGTACGGATCTGCTGGAGTCACTACAGCTGACGATTTCTGCTGCTCTCATTCTAGCAACTCAACTTAATGGTCCCCCATCAGTGTGAAACAGAAATGAGTTTGCTCTCAGAGGGGTTCAGCCATGTCATTAGTTTCTGATGGAGCAATTGGGCGCAAATGGGGAAGAGGAGTCTGGGCGCCGCCCCCCCCAGGCCTGAGCATGCCCCAGGGCCCTCTGTACTGCAGCCAGAGCATAAAGCACTCAGCCACCAGAGCCGCTCAGGGTGGGGCTCGGGCTCTGAAAGTCAGAGAGCGATTAGGTAATGGGGACACCAATCCTCGCTGGTCCTGCGCAAATCAGCCAAAGACAGGGCAGCTTCGAGACTGTTAGTGCTGGGTGGGGCTGTGTGGGGAGATGGAAGAATAAAGGCAAGAGGCAGTGTGCATTGCCTGGGGCCTGGGGCCTACCATTAGCCTCTCCAGATGGTTCAGAGACAAGCTGTGCTGTCCGTGGGTCCGACCAGTCACAGCATCAGCATCCCAAGATTCTGGGCCCAGGCTGTGGGCCCTTGTGCTGCCCAGGGGTGACGGCCTGTAAGCAGAGTACAAGGCAGGGCTTGGGCCCAGTGAGTACACCTCTCAGACCCAGGACACTCGGGCAGAAACTCGCTGCCTGAACAAGCCAGTGTGCCCCAAGAGTCCTTGTCAGCACCCTGCCGCCAGGAGCAGCCTGTGCTGGTGCCAGTTTAACTAGTCAGCGAATGTGCCGCAGCCCCCAACGCTGCAGAAACAAGTGCTGTTTAAAGCCACAGCAGACAAATCTCCCATCCAGGGGGGGGGGGGCGCTCCAAGGTGGAGGCCATCATGCCCCACCTGGTGCCTGGCCAGGCCAACAGCTTCTGAGGACAGAGCGCACCGGCTGGCAGGGGAGCAGTGCTGGGGGTGAAGCCGCCCTCTCAAGGCCCAGCCAGACCCTTCACCTCGCCTGCCAGGGATGTTACTCAGGGAACTGAGGAGCAGAAATAAGGATGCATTCTGCTTGACTAAGGAAAGAAAAATGCAGGCACAGTGGGAAAAACTTGCCATACTGCTGAACAAAGAGGGCCATTCAGACAGTTGAGGGGTTGGCACAAGGAGTCCAGACTGCCAGGCCCCCATCACCTCAAAGATGTTCTTAGTATGTATGTGTTCACCAAAGACATTCAAAATGCACAGTCAAGAAATAAGAACAAAAATCGTTAGAAAAACTCTAAGAAATTCAAACACCAACTGCAGCTGCACAATTGAAAAATAGCGAGATCAAACAAAAATTTCTGCATGATGTACTTTTCTATATCTCATTTTTGGGCAGGTATAACGCTTAAATCAGAGGTGGGCAAGCCCAGCCTGCCACCTATTTTTACAAATGAAGTTTTTTTTTTTTTTTTTTTAAAGATTTATTTATCTATGCATCCAGAACTGCGGTACAGGCCAGAGATTGGGGGCGGGAGGCGGTTTGAGAGTATTCACCAGGGAAAGAGTGTGGAGCAGAACAGGCAGATGGATTGAAATACACTGCTGAGGAGAGCAGCGGGTGGGTCAGGAGAGGTCTGCTGTGCCCGGTAGGTCAGCTCCCTGCCTGGGGGTTGAATTCGTGCTGCAGTGGCTGAAGATGGTTTCACAGTACTGAGCTCTAACCCACTGAGCCACAGGGAGGGCCCTACAAATAAAGCTTTATTGACACATGGTCACACCCACATTGGTGCTGCCACAGCAGAGTTGAACAGTCACAATGAAAGATTTTACAGCCAAGAGCCCTCCCTGGCGGCGCAGCGGGTTAAAACACAGCACTGTGAAGCTAGCAGCAACCACTTCAGCACAAGTTCGATCCCCAGCCAAGGAGGTGACCCACACGGCGTGGCAGACCTCTCCTGACCCGCCCGCTGCTCCCCTCAGCAGTGGACTTCGTCGATCTACCTGTTCTGCTCCCCACTCTGTCTCTGGTGAATTCTCTCACCGCCCCTGCACCTCTGGCCTATATCCCAGTTCTATATGCATAAATAAATAAATCTTAAGAAAAAAAATCATACAATCTGAAAAACCACAAACACTCACTATCTGCTACTTTCCAGAAAATTTTCCAAACCTTGATTAAAATCATGGAGCACATTTTTTGCAGTATGACTTGAGTTCCAAGACCTCAGTGGAGAATTTCTCCTCCTAGAGGTCAACTTGGGTGAACTGTGTGCAGAGTAACAGGTGGGTTTTTGTACTAAAGTATGTGTGCAAAATACTTATGTTGAAACTCCGACCCCCAGTGTGACTGTATCTGGATACAGGGTGTTTAGGAGGTAATTAAGGTTAAAGGAGGTCATAAGGGTGGGCCAACCCCAACAGCCGTGGCCCTGTAAGACGAGACATCTTTTCCTGTCGCCCATCCCCAAGCCATGTGAAGTGAGGAGGTGACCGCCCACCAATCTCAGGTTCTCCCAAGAACCCGATCTCAGACTTCCGGCCTCCAGCA